ATGGCTTACTGAGAGAGTGTGTCTGCCACAAGCTGTGAAAGTATGAGACACATTTTAAAAAGATTTTTTCATCTCCTTTTTTTTTTTTCCCTGTTACTGGGACTTGAACTCAGCCTCAAGCTCTCCCTTAGCTCTTTGGCTTCAGGCTGGTGCTGTACCACTTTAGGTATGCCTCCATTTCCATCATTTTGCTGATTAAGTGGAGATAAGAGCCTCAGGCTTTCCTACCCAGGCTGGCTTTGAACCTGGATCCTCAGGTCTAAGCCTCCTGAGTAGCTAGGTGTAAGCCAGCAGCCCTTAGCTGAAACACATTTTTTGAAGAATGCAAGCTAGTTTCCACTTGCTTTTCTCCCATATGTTAGTGTTAGGAACACGAATTGCTTTTTACCGAACTATGTGTGGAGGTAGATTATATTGAGTATGATTTTTATTTCGGGATATTAGAAGTATATGCTATCCAAAAGGAGGTATGAGGGCTTGGAGGTATGGCTCAAGTGGTAGAGCACCTGTCAAGCAAGATCAAGACCTTGAGTTTCAACCAGAAAATGTCCAAGTTTGAACCAGAAAACAAAAGTGAAAAGCAAAGTGGGGGCTTTGGATTAGCGATATTAAGAACGCAAGGAGCTTCCAGGGACGGGGCAGAGGTCTGGGATGGCACCTACGTGAGGGCGTCAGGCCTTGTTGCTATGAACTGGGGCCATCCTTCTCATCCACTCCTGGCAGATTCTTAGCCCCAAATGGATGCAGAGTTGCTTCCAAGTGATCACCCTTTCCTGTCTTTCCTTTCTTTGACATCCTTTTGTACTTCTGGAGCAGAGTGCTCTGGCTGGGGAATTCTGAACAGAAGTATGCTAGCCTGTCCAGTTTGATGATACTGATTCCAAGATGGGACCTTGGCAGGGCAGAAGGCGAAGGGGCAGGAGAGGAGGCGAGAGCAGACCCACCTCTCAGAGCCCTAGGGCCACCCACCAGATAGCCTAGGCGCCATCAGAACCTCCTCCCAGCGCCGTCCAACTGGGGCATCGACTTACTGGCCCGTGAACCTGGAGACACATTCGAATCACAGTGAATTTCTCAAAAAAAAAAAAGTATTGTACCCAAGAAAACAAATGTTCTGTCATTTTGCATTTCTTCTTTTCAAGCACAGTGATGAATACCATCTTGAGGTATTTTTTTCATTGTTCCTTTTATAATTGCTGTTGCTGAGGGCGCTGGAGGCATCCTCAAACTTTTGAGCAGAGTAGTTCTCAGATGGCTTAGACGGTGTGTCCTTGGGAGGTGCCACCCTGGCTGCTTCAAGGGCAGAGACACCTACCCAGTCCTCCTCATGGCCACACACTGCCTGGGGTCTCTGGGGTCTCCAGGCAGCACGTGGTTGGTGTCCAGGATCTAGGAAGAACTTTGTGTCTATTATTTGCTTAATTATTTGAGTAAGAAGATAGTCAGCCAGCCTAGGATTATGGGATGGCACAAGCTAGATGAACCAAACACACAGATCCTTAGGATGCAGCTGCAGGCGAACTTTCCCAAGGGTTCCCTCTCCCAGCTTGCCCCTGTGCCTGTCAGAGTTAGCTAGTATCTGGATGGAAAAGTGCTTCTTTGGGGCAACAGGTAAAACCTACTCTTGCCTCTGAACTGCTAGATCAGACTTGGAAGTGACTGTGAACTTTAATCAGACTGAGAGCCGTGTAGGCGTGGCGACCTTAGCTTTAGCATCTCCTGATGTGTCTATTTTTAAGTTGGTACCCAGGATGCAACTTGAACACAATTAAAGGATTTGGGGTTGCCAGCTCTTTGGCTGACAGCAGCATCAATGGGATATGTGCCCACACAGAGTTCAGGAAGAGACTGAATTACTAGGCATCTCTTACCTAAGGCCTCACATTTTCAGGGATCAGGGGACACACAGTGGAGTGGGCCAGCCTTCAGTCTGTTGTCCACGTCTAAGATGAGAAGCATGAGCCTGCCTGGTTTCATGATCTATCTGATGGCTGGGGCCTGGAGAACGCTCAGAGACGATACGTAGAACAAGGTCCAACTGGGGGCCTGCAGTATGCTCTGTCAGTTACCAAGAACAAATCACGACACCTCCCCATGCCCGCTTCCCTCAAGGAATACCATGTGAAAGACAAAATAGTGCATTTAACAGCACCAGGAACTCGCCTAACCTGACGCAGTCTGGTTGCTTGTCATTTACAGTTGTATTGGCTACTCTTTAGGACATGTCTAGACCTCAGTGTTGTAAGGCACTGTTACCCAAGGCATCAGGTGACACCTCAAGACTCTGACACCCAAGGCGCTGAGTGTCACCCCAAGGCTCTGAATGTCATCCAAAGGCTGTGTCACCCCAAGGTGCTATGTCACCCTGTAAGGGTGAAGACATCTGAGCCATGCATGTCACAGCACCTGCATCTTGATGCCTAGTCTCTGCGGGTGGAAGCTGGTGGTGTGGAGAGAAGGGAGGAACTCTTCCCACTTCACAGCCATGCTCAGGATGTGGGCAGAATGTAAGTGGGGCTGTGTGCATGCTTTCACCCCCACCCCCACCCCCAGCCCAGAATGCCTACTCAAAGCAGCTTTGTAAATAAGCATTTGGTTTTCACCAGCCTACACACTTTTATAGCTAGTCTTCTATTCTTCTAGAATGTAGTGTGTGTGTGTGTGTGTGTGTGTGTGTGCGCACCAGTGCTTGGGCTTGAATTCAGGGCCTGGGTATTGTCCTTTAGCATTTTGCTCTAGGCTGGTGCTCTCCCACTTGAGCTACAGTTCCATGTCTGGCTTTTTCCCAGTTGATAGGAGATAAGAATCTCATGGATGCAGGCACGGGTAGCTCACGCCTGTAATCCTAGCTACTCAGGAGGCTGAGATCTGAGGATCATGGTTCAAAGCCAGTCCGGGCACGAAAGTCCATGAGACTTTTATCTCCAATAAACCACCAGAAAACCAGAAGTGGTGCAGTGGCTCAAGCGGTAGAGTGCTCATCTTGAGCTGAAGAGCTGAGGGACAGCGCCCAGGCCCAGAGTTCAAGTCCCATGACCGACCAAAAAAAAAAAATCTCACGGGTTTTCCTGCCCAGACCAGCTTCGCACTGTGATCGCAGCTCTCACTCTTCTGAGTGACGAGGATCACAGGAGTGAGCCAGCTTAGAATGTATTTTTGTGTGTCAGGCCTAGGTTTCTTTTTTTTTTTCCTCAGGGACATAGGTCCTGGTGAAGTTTTTTTGACTCTTGGAGTTGTATTGGCAGCCATGGGTTCTGTCCAGCTTGGCTTTCCCTGTGGCTAGCCAAGGACCAGGGCAGCGCTGGCCCCTGCAGGCCCTCAAGGGGACACTGTATGCACAGGTGCGTTCTGCTGTGTGACAGCTGGTACTCAAGAGCTTTTGAGAGCCCCTGTCTAAGGGATCTTGGGATCTGTCCAGAGTCACTTGTCTTCTCTGGGGCCATATCCCACACCCAATGGGAACTGGCTTATGATGGCTCCCATCTCAGGGAGAATCCCCACAGCATCTAGAGGCCTCCCTGAAGTTAAGGGGCCCTAAAGTGGTGGAGGGGGCTTAGCAGCTATCCTTGGACAGGCAGGGTTCCTACAGGAAAGGGGGTATCCAGTGTTCTGTCTGTGGGTGCATGCCATACCTTTCCTCTCACTTGCCTGAATCAACATAGTGTGGGAGAATCTTCTTTCAGAGTCAAGCAGTAGTTGGAGAAGGTTTCTGCTTAGTGAGTTACAAGGTTTTATGAGTACATTAACTGAATGGCTATGAATTCTCATGGCACCGTGTGACACCTCTGGCAGTCTCTGCCATCGTGTGACACCTTTAGTGTCTTCCCTGTCATCCTTCTCCTTTCCCACCTTCAGCCTCCAGGGCTCCTCATGCTCCTCTCTAGCTGCACTGATCTGAGTCTCCGGTCTTGGCCATATCTGTATTACCAGGACCTAGCCCCTGCCGGCAGTGTAGCGGGTGCTGGAAATCCCTGTCATGAATGAATGTTTGTGTGGACAGCGGGTCCTACTTCCTGTGCTTCATGTCACTCTGGAAATACCAAAGCTCTTTGTTTACAAGGTAAAGGCAGGAATCATGCAAATGTGGTCCCGTTACCTAGGCAATGTGCTCTCACACGGAGCGGCTCCTATGACATTACTCCTGCTGGTTTCTGCACCTCCTCTCCTGCATACCTTTTCAGGCCTGCTTCCAGGGCTCTCTCCTGGCACTGAGCATGTCCTCTCTGTGGGTGCCATCCTTGCCCTGGCCCTCCCTATCAGGAGGGCCCCCTCAGAGGCCTTTTTCATCCGTGAGGACCTTACTGAGCCTGAACATCCCACTGGAAGTACCATATGCATCTCACACTCTTTCTAGCTCTTTGACTTGATCTGAGAGCCCTAGAAAGAACTGTTAGAGCGGGAACCACTACCACCATTTCTTCCCCTTTACTCTGTAAATCAACAGGGGCTGCTCAGAGTAGGACTTTTCATTGGGATGATGGAGTTGAGGTGATGCAAGAGTCAGAGTTAACACTTGCCCGTGTTACCTGTGCAGTGGATTACAGGAAGTATCCATGACACTAGATCATTGGTTTTTTTTGCCCCCTAAGCCCCAAGCTATCCTTGTAGTTTTGTTCTTACTTAGCCAAAAACAAGAAAATACCAACAAAAGTCCTTGATTCTTGGTCTCGATGAATTATTTCAGATCAGGGCTTGTTAAGGTGTAGTTTGCCTAAAAATGGGAAAAATCGACAGGGCATTGAAAGCATGGTGCCGATTGGGTTCCTTTGCCCAGAACTACAAAATGGTGTTGTGTCCTTGGTTAGTGGGAGCTCCTGTCGGTTTCAGTAGGGGACTGGCCATGTGCGCGTTGTCCTTTTGATGGCATCAAGGGTCTATGGTGTATTGCCCACTAACTGTTGGCCATTTTCTTCTTTCCCTCCTGTGAGCCACTAAACCAGTCATAAACATTTCCTGCAGGTGACCTAATCTGTTTTATGTCTCTATCACGTCTCCTGCAGATTTCAGCAATGTCCCTGACATCACAACTGGTTTGAAAAGGAGTCAGACGGATGGCACTCTGGATCAGGTGTCCCACAGGGAGAAGATGGAGCAGACCTTCCGGGTAAGAGGCTGGTCCAGTTTGCAAACTGAGAACCAGGGAGGCAAAAGTTAATTCTTGTCATTTCCTGAGGTGGGGATTAAAAAATGGAGTTTTACAGTCCCTACCTCTAGCATTGGATACAGATATTTGTTTTTGTTTTGTTTTTAAAGATAATACTTTCCACTGGGTACTGGTGGCTCACACCTGTAATCCTAGCCAACTCAGGTATAAAAGCCCATGACACTTGTCTTTAATGACCAGCAAAAACCTGTAAGTAGAGGTATGGCTCAAATGGTAGAGTGCCAGCCTTGAAGGAAAAATCCAAGGAAGAGCACAAGGTCCCGAGTTCAAGCCCCAGTACCAGTACACACACACATACACAATACCAAGCTGGTATAATGAAATATACCTGTAATCCCAGCACTTAAGAAGGTACATTGTATGTTCAAGGCCAATGTGGCCTAACTATTGAGACCCTGTCTGAGAAAACCTAAACCAAACAAAATGTATTTGTAGTTTCCTTTTCCATTGTTTATTTTATTTTAATTTTTTATTGTTATTATAAAGGCGATATAGAGAGGGGTTACAGTTACCCATTGTTTATTTTTCAAAAACCATATGCAGTAGTCAGAACTCCCCCATGATCTTCAGCAGACGTCAAAGAACAAGGCAGATGTGCCATGATGTTCTCACACTGGGTAGGGTTTGCTGAGTGACCTTGACAAGTTACTCTTGTGCTCAGGGTGTTCTGAAATTATTGTTATGATATTATTATTATTATTATTAGTCCTGAGGCTTGAACTCTGGACCTATGCAATGTCCCTGAGCTCTTCAGCTCAAGGCTAGCACTCTTCTACTTGAGCCACAACGCCACTTCTGTTTTTCTAGTGGTTAATTGGAGATAAGAGTCTCCAGACTTTCCTGCCTGGGCTGGCTTTGAACTGCGATCCTCAGATCTCAGCCTCCTGAGTAGCTAGGATTATAGGCGTGAGTCACCAGTCCCCAGTCCTGGTATTATTGTTATTAAATTATTATTCCCTTTTTGTTCTCCATAATTCTTTTGGCCAGAGATCAGTTATTTTTTGAATGTTTTCATTTTGTTATGCTGCAGTGTGTGTGGCACAAAATTTGCTACTGTCTACTATTTTCAGTTATGCACACCACTGGCCCTGAGGCACACACGCGATGCTTTGTAACTATCATCATGTCTGTGGCCAGAGCTTCCTTACTGTTCCAGACAGAAGTGCTCGTCTCTTTCAACCCCCTGGACACATCAACCATTCTCTCTTCTTCTTTGCCAATTCTAGATTCCTCATCTATGAATGGAATTGTGTAGTATCTGTCCTTAACATGTCTCCTATGTCATAGCTCCATTTCTGGCTTTTTGGTAGTTAATTGGAGATAAGACTCTCACAGGCTCTCACAGAGTCAGGACTGACTCTGAACCTTAATCCTTGGATCCCAGCCTCCTGAGTAGCAGGATTATTGCCATTAGCACCTAACCAAATCAATCCGTATTGATTGGTTTGTTATAACCTTTTTCTTAAAAAAAAAAAAAAAGCAAAGGCTTGTGGAGTAGAGCTCTGTATTTAAGGTGAGGGCTGTGATGCACTGGCATGGCTGGTGCTTAAGGGAAATGACTTAATGCCAGTGACGTAATGTCAGCTGGATAAGGATTTTTCTCTCCATGATGCTCTGTTTGACGTATACATTCAAGTTCTAAAGAAGGAAATGAATTTTCCCCATGTTGTATTTTAAGATTTGGTCAAATAGATACATGAAAAGTTAGCCTACTGAGGCTGTGTCCAGTCCTATTCTACGACAGTCTTGTCACAAGCACATGAAGCAGGACTGTTAGGAATTTAGAAAAAGGAGAAAATGCATTTCAGGTTGTATCTGGAGTAATCTCAGTTTCTGCTGTGAAAAGTGGTAAAGGGAGAAAGCAAATGTATATGTGTGTGTCTGCATACACACCCAGGAACATGGAATTGAAGTCCTGTGTAAGAGAATACAGGTTGAGCTGGGCACTGGTGGCTCACACCTGTAATCCTAGCTACTCAGGAGGCTGAGATCTGAGGATTGCGGTTCAAAGCCAGCCCGGTCAGGAAAGTCCATGAGATTCTTATCTCCTGTAACCCACTCAGAAAACCAAAAGTGGTGCTGTGGCTCAAATGGTAGAGCGCTAGTCTTGAGCTGAAGAGCTGAGGGACAGTGTCCAGGCCCAGAGTTCAAGCCTCACAACCAACCAAAAAAAAAAAAGAATACAAGTTGAGTATCCCTCATTCAAATAACTTGAATAAGACTGGAAGTGTTTCAGAGTGTGAGTCGTCTGTGTGTCCTTCCCCCCCCTCCCCCCCGCCAGCCCCATTTAGTAATGTTGACGTCACATAGTGAGATACCTCCAAGATGGTCCTCTGGTCTCTACACAGAATCCATTTGTGCTCCATGCACACCTTACCCACACACATTGAGGACAAGTGCACAGTGTTGCTGGTGCCCTTACACTTCGACCGAGCCCAACAGGCAGTCAGGTGTGGCATCTGCTTCGTGGCATCGTGTTGGTGTCTCAGGTTTTGTGGCTCTTTGGATGTTGGGTTTCTTTAGAGTGTGAGCAAGTTAAATGTGTGCTGTCCAGGTCCCAAGTCTGAGGCCATCTCTTACCTGGTATTCATCTCTTACCTGCATATAACAGTGGATTTCTGTGCACTAAAAACAGAGTGAAGAGATTCCCATAGCTTTGTGTTCTTTGTCTCTTGGGACAAATGAATCTGTGGTCACCAGCAGAAGTCACTGTGATGGAAAAGATAGTATCAAAGGGTTTTATTTTTTATTTATTTATTTATTTTTTTGTCGGTCGTGGGGCTTGAACTCTGGGCCTGGGCGCTGTCCTTCAGCTCTTCAGCTCAAGGCAAGCACTCTACCACTTGAGCTACAGCGCCACTTCTGGTTTTCTGGTGGTTTATTGGAGATAGGAGTCTCACAGTCTTTCCTGCCCGGGCTGGCTTTGAACCATGATCCTCAGATCTCAGCCTCCTGAGTAGCTAGGATTACAGGCGTGAGCCACCAGCGCCCGGCGTATCAAAGGGTTCTAAAAAGTTCTGTATGATAGTTTGACCTCGTGGAAATAGCAGGTTATCTCTGAAAGCAGCCATCGTGTGTGTGTGTGTGTGTGTGTGTGTGTGTGTGTGTGTGTGTGCGCGCGCGCGCGCGCTTGCACGTGCTTGAGCACTGGGACCTGGGTACTCTACTACGTGAACCACAAGGCTGGTACTCCACTACATGAACCACATCTCTGGTTCTGGCTTTTGCTGGTTAATTGGAGATAAGCATCTCATGGACTTTCTTGCCCAGGCTGGCTTTGAACTGTGATCTGTACATCTCAGCCTCCTGAGTAGCTAGGATGATTACAGGCATGAGCCACCAGCTCTCAACTCCTCTTCTGTTTTTGAAACCGCGATCTGGGGTGCTATCTTGCATGTTCCCAGTATGTGCTGGGAGTGGCCAGACTTGCTATCTGACTGAGGTCTCAGGAGGTGATGGCTCCTCAGCCAGACCTGCCTCTGCCTCCCAGGTCTTCCCAGGGTCACCAGTTCTTTTCATTCGGCTCAGGTTGAGCCTGGACTATTGGGGGTATTTCACTAACAAGTATCTAGACTTGAGAATAAGGAATAATTTCTATTGAAAACCATCCAAAGCTGACTTGATCAAGCACAGCTGTACCCAGGCTTTTGACAGCCCCACAATTTCTGCAAATGGCTCATAATTGATTGCCTTCTCTCTCTCCAAGGGTGCCCATTACTGTCAGAGCTCTTTGTGTGACCCTGTCAGCCCCTCCTGCGTGGAGAATTCTTTCCCCTGGTGTTGTTAGCAATTAGCCTGCACTATTGTCATCATTGGGAGTTGGAAAGGAATAAACACTTTCTCTTGGGGTAAGGGGGTTGAAAGAGCCTTTGGTTTGTTTTGGGGACTTGAGCCGTGTTAACAGCTGTCCCCCGCCAAAATGCTGTTCACCTTTCCTGTTCTGCGTGCGGAGCTGGCTGTGGACATGTGGCACTTGGTGACTTTGTCATTGCCACGTCTGCGAAGCTTGGTGCCTCTCCAGAGCAGGCAGGCTTGCAGCAGGGGTGGGCTACAGGAGGAGGTAGGTGAGCCTTCCTCAGTCACCGAGCTGCTTGGAGGATGGCTGGGTGGCGCTAGGACGTCCTTGTGGGGTGGGTGTGGCTGAGAAGAACACTAGGGAGTGTTTTCATTTCATTTGCTGGGAATGAGAGCGAGAGGGCTCTGCCTTCCACCCTGCTGGAGAAACCTACGGTAGATGAAACGCTTCTGGGACAGAGAGCAAGTTCCTCAGAACGTGTCCTTTCCACAGGCAGTAGGTAAGTGGAGGTGGGCTTGGAATTCCCAGGTGTAGCTCCTGATCCCAATGCAGGCAGGCTGGCAGGGTTTTCCTTCTTGATCAGAAGTTGCCTTTACTCCAGCAATGTCGAAAGGCTGTTATGCAGATGAGGAGCTCTGCTTGTCTTTCCAGAAGGGACTCTTGACAGTACCCTTGAAGCCCGAGAGAACCCTTTTTGTGTAGTAGTTGTGTGTCATGGTTAAACTTTTCTCTCAGCCTGAGGTCTTCAAAATGATCTTTGCATTAATTTTGTTGGTTTGAAATAAAAAAGCCATCAGAAAGGCCTGTGGAAACATCTACTCCGTATAATTATGTTTGGAAGGAGAGAAAGGGGGAATTTGAACATAGCAAATAATTTTATGCTTGCTAAATTTCTTTGGAGCAGAGCACTTACTTGGGCTTACATTGTAAAAGCAAATCTACAGAAATGAATGAACCCCTCTTTCATCCAGGTAAGCAGAATGGTTTTTTTTTTTATTTAGTTCTCCCTGGTTAAATAATTTTACAGCTTTTTGCAAGAATTTTATATAATCACCTAGTGTGGCGGTGGCAGTGATTATTTTTGCAGTTGGTAGGCGTTGTGTTGATGAACAGCGAGCTTTGGGATCTGGAGACATACAGCATG